CCATTGGGCTTCTATGTTACGGATAAAGAAATACTAAGTAACAAACAGATATGAATCCCAAAATTGAAGCCCACAATTTGTGTATTTTTGTCGGGTTAATATCTAAAATCTAAGGTGACATTTGGTTCGCTGGAATGTTTTTGAAGGAATTATAATCTGTGAAGGAATTAGAATCTGTGAAAGAATTAGAATATGTGAAGGAATTGGAATCTGTCAGGAATTGGAATCTAATTCCATATTCTATTTAGTTGGCAGGAATTGAATTGGAATCCAATTCCATATTCTGTTTGGTTCGTAAACATGTCAAATGAATTTGATTTCAGTAATGTAAAATGATATAATTGCCCTTCTTATTTTTTTTGCTTAATTTTAGTTTGTTTTATAAATTACATGTAGCAATATATTATAAAAATTTAAAAAAAAATTAAATTTTAATTTTATTGATTGATTATTCATTTCAATAAATTATAAAAATCATGCTAATAAATATCATAAGTTAAAATCATCCCAATTAGGGATGGTCATGGGTCAGGTTTTTGGTCCACCCGACCCGACCCGTGAATAAGGGAACCTCCATTCGAGACCCGACCCGACCAAAATAAAGTTTCACACGACCCGACCCGAATATATAAATTAGAAACCCAACTCGACCCGAAATAATAAAAAATTTATTTTTATTCAATAAAAACAATTACTTAATTGAAAAAATATATATAGAGAGAGGGTAATTATTGTAATTATTCATAAATATATAAGGTAAAATTATATATTTTTTTGGTTCGGGTCGAGTATTTTTCACCCTAAACTTGAACCCGACCCGAATATCACACTTAAAAAAACCTGACCCGATCCGAACAAAATAAAGTTTCACCCGACCCGACCCGAATATATGAATTAGAAATCCAACCGACCCGACCCGAAATAATAAACAAATATTTTTATTCAATTAAAACGGTAACTTAATTGAAAAAAAAATTATATATAGATGGGTATTATTGTATTATTCCTAAATATATAAGGTAAAATTATATATTTTCGGGTCGAGTATTTTTCACCCTAAACCCGAACTCGACCCGACCCGAATATCACACTTAAAAAAACCGTCCCGACCCGACCAAAATAAAGTTTCACCCGACCCAAATATATGAATTAGAAACTCGACCCGACCCAAAATAATAAAAAATATTTTTATTCAATATATAAATAAATTACCAAAAGATTGATGAGGTTAGTATGGTCAAATTTCAATTCCCCCAACAAGGGAATTGAATTCCATCATAGAATGATAGAATTCACTTTCCCTCATTTGATGGAAAGCTGAAGCCATGAGGGATTTAAATTTCCTTGGAAAACTTGAACCAAACATGGGAAAGTGGTAGAATTGGATTCCAATTATCCCTAATTCGAATGGATTCATGTCAACCAAACGCAACCTAATAGTTTCCTTACTCAACTTTGATCTTATTATTGTTTTGACCACTATTTTTTCAATTTAATCTCCACCGTAATTATTTAATGGTATTAGCATATTTTTGTAATTTATAAAATTCCCAAACTCTATTTTCTTTTTGTGAAAATATCTTTAATATTTTCCTTCTCCGAGTTCTAGTCAAGTTTTTTAAATCTCCTTTAATTTTGACGTTAGAACATCTTCTTCCATATTCAAACGTTAAAAATGTAGAGAAAGATTTATTATATAATTAGCAAAATTTATTGATAAAATAAAAATATAATCAAAATTGAACAATGATTGACCTGATATGTTAATTTGATTTTTTTTATCACGTGGTTAATAGGAAAAAAATCAATGTTGTACATTGAATTTTAAAATACTAATAATTTTTTTAAAAATAAAAATTAATATTTTTGTAAACATGATGCTGACATGGGAACAATGACAGGATCCAATTGAAAAAGAAATATATAATAGAAGCTGATGTTATTTTCAAATGGGTCATATAATAGTAACAGTAGGACTAGAAGTAGTAGATAAAAGGCTAAGAAGTCTACAGGGTACCCATCCCTTAAAACTGGGAAAGAAGGGCCCATAACTAACCCAAAAGTACCCTATTTTTACTTTAGAAAAGGGACCATGTTTTCCCCATTTGCCAATCACCATCACCTGCAAAAGCCTAAGCAAATTATATATGCTTATTCATAGGGTTTAGGGGCACCTTACTATGTCTAGGAGAGGAGGGGACCATTCTATTTTACAAAGAAGCCCAACAGATGGTAAATTAATTAATGTTAATTTAAATAGAATCATTTAATTACTACTTTGTATGTTGTTAAATTATGGTTTTCGTTTTAAGTTATCTAGATTGTTAAATATTCTAATTGCATCTTTAAATTATAATTCTCATTTTAAATTGATCTTGAACTTTCAAATATTTCAAATTCATCCTCAAAATATGACATTTATTTTAAATTAATCTCTAAACTTTTAAATGTTTCAATAATTTCCCCTAAAATCATTCAAAAGTTTGGGGATATAATTGGAATATTCAAAAGTTTAAGGACCAAATATAGAATAAATATCATAGTATAGGGATGAACTTGGAATACTCAAAAGTTTGAGAATCAATTTAGAATGAGAGTGATATTTTGGAAACCAAATCAAAATGTTTAAAACTTTGAAGATCAATTTAAAATAAAAGTTATTAGTTGAGAACATATAATGTAATTAACTCTATTTGTTATTTTAATTTTTAGAAAAATCAGATCAAAATAGAATTAAATATAAAACATAGTTGAATCAAATTATACAAAATTAGTTTGGTTCACCATTCTCTCGAAAATTAATTTATAGGGTACTACATTGTGAGTCATCCGGCTATTAAAAGTTATAAAATGGTATCTTGACCATAGGATGTTGCTTTGTTGATTCATTGACTATTAAAAAATATAAAATGGTCACCCAACTATCCATATATTCCAAACTTGTAATTTTATATTACAATTGACGTTCATTTGAGTTGGACGTTAACTTACTGACTAAGATATTTTAAAATCATATTTTAACGATTTATACTGATACCATCGTTGCTTTTAAGCACTGATTCGACAACATAATGTAAATAAAAACTCGATCCACAAAATAAACCTCAAACAGTTTGGGATCATATTTTATCATATTCAAATCAGCAAGTTAGCGTCTAGCTTAGACGAACTCCAAAACTTTAACGAAAAAGAACTAGTTTGGAATATATGAATAGTGAAGTGATCATCTTATAACTTTTAATAGTCGGGGATAACAAATCAATGCCTTATAGTTAGGAGACTATTTAGTAACTTTTAATAGTCAACGTACTCAACAAAACAACATTCTATAGTCGATGGACCATTTGTGTACTTTACCTTAGGTTTATTTCCAGTCTGGAAAATAGAAGAATTAAATTCTTGATACAGAAATAATAGGACTAAATTCTAAAAGTAAAAAGAGTAGAGAGAGCTGAAAGAGAATTTAACCTTTGAAATGAAAATTTTAGGTGAGGTTTGCGTATGAAATTCCCCAACCTAAAACGACAATCCGGTGATACAGTTTTGTTGAATGGTCCCATAAAAAACTGACACGTATATACTAATAACCTACTGCTACTTACGATTCTTCTAGGCTTCTCCACTTATAGCTTCGCTCCAAAATCGAATTATTACTGCAAATCTCACCATATTCCCACAAGGCAAGAGTTTCTTTTTACTCCTTTTCCCACAACAACGTTGTATTCATATCTTTTATAATTCCACTACAAATATGTTAAATAATTTTTTTATTTTAACAATCAAATTATTTTTTTCAATAAATTATTATTAACATTATACTAAATAAACGGATATAAACAAAAATAATTATTACGATAATTTATAAAAAGAAATATAAGAGGAGGAATGATCATTTGTGTATAGTAGTTGAATCGGTGGTGAATGTAGCACAGGGCTCGAGGCAATTCATTACCCACCACCTTTCCTTTTCATAAACAAATTGAAAAATAAAATAAAACTGGTAGTTATGCATTACATGGGATTTTGCTGGGCATGTGAACCCTACAATGCCCTATGCACCTATAACCCTAGGCCCCCTACGACCTACGTCCTACACTCGCAGCACTGCCGCCCACTATGGTTTCCATTTTTCAACTAGTATTTGTAGATCTGCGCTGTAATACAATATCACCACTCCACTTCCACTTTTAACCTTCCAACTTCCTCCACTCTCTCATTCAACGCGTGTCCTACACCACCCACAAGAGGAGAATACTAGGGAGGGAATAATGCATGGCAGACAGTTTCGTAGACCGCCGCTTTCTTTAATTGTTAGCTCACTTCTATTATTGATAATATATATTATTTCCTGCTTTCAAATTTTTTAATAATATTATTAATTGTTAAATTAATATCACATATTTTAACTTTCACATCAATAATAAGATGTTGTTAATATTGTTTTGAAATATATATATATATATTTAATTTAAAGGAAAAAAAATAAATAAATGGAGAGTAAAGACCACGGCAAGGAGGACGGGACACGGCGCTCGAGGAACGGAGGTGATTAATGAAATTTAACATGCTCACGCACTTGAAGAAAAAGTTAAACCACCGATAATAATTTGATTAAAATGATATTTTCTATGATTCATTTAAAAATTTAATAGAAATATTTTGTTACTATCTCTTTAATATTTAACTAAGAAATATTACTTAAAAATATAATTGGTTTATAGATATATAACATCAAGTGAAAAATTGATATAATCGGCTCATTGAAAAAACCATACTAAACATAAAAATATAAAAAAATGATATTGAATTAATTAATTTAATTCTATATTATGAAATTAAATAAATTATTATTTTTTATTTTGGTAGTAATTATATAAAAAGTAAAAAAATATTAAATAATTATTTATACATCATTGTATAAAATTTGCATCTAATAATATTAAAAGCTATATAAATTGTTTGGGTTTCTTTATTGCAAGCGTAGCAGCAAAAGGTCAGCAGTGTATGAGCTAGCTTCAGCTTGCGGCTAAATTTCTCTCCTCGTCAAATCTCAAATCCCCGGACTTTTTCCCTAATAAAACCCAAAGCAAGGCAAGAGGAAAAAGAAGAAGAGATCTAAAGGTGCACCAACCTCTCTCTTTCTATGCTAAAAGCTTCTCTTTTCTTCTATCTTCTTCTGCAATAGTTTCAGAGATTTCGACGGACCCCACACACATATATATATGTTTTAATTGTATATACATATATATGTTTGATGTTTGTGAAGATTGAGTTTTTAGCTATTGAAGGAGATATCTTTCTATATGTAATAGTTTTGTTATTATCATCGTCATTGTGGCTACCACAAGAAGGCAACTGCCGTCGGACTCTGTAGGAGCCTTTGCAGATTGGGCGACTTCATCGGCCACATCAATCCGAGCTGGCCCCGATGACCTTTCCCTTGGCTTTAATGCTAACGCCGCAGCCGCTTCTGCTGCCGCCGTTCCCCCGGGATCCACCAACACTCAATGGCCACCCTCAGCTCGTTCTGTCAACTACGGGCTTCCCCCTGAAATGGGGATGGTCGGTCTCCGGGATTTCGTCGTCGTTTCTCCGGCGTCGTTTAACCACCACCACCACCATCATCACCATCACCATACTCAAGATCCCATCATGTCAAACGATCAAATCAGCGGTCCGAATGCTTCGACGGCTCTTGGTGTCGGCGTTGGCGTTTTCCCTCTACTTACAACGGCTCCTTGTCTAGCTCCACTAAATGTGGACGACTCTGATTTGTTCAATAACAATAGTCGTAACAAGCTCAGTGGGATGCAGCTATGGCAGAATCAGAATTCTTCCCCTCACGATTATCTTAAGAAACCATCTTCTTTCCCTGACAACAATAATTTGATACAAAGCAGTGGCGGCGGCGGCGGGGGGATGGGAGGTGATGCAAGTGGTGGTTCGGGTTCAAGCTCGACGACCACGTGTCAAGATTGCGGGAACCAAGCTAAGAAAGGCTGTTCCCATAGGAGATGTCGAACATGTTGTAAAAGTCGAGGTTTTGCTTGCCCTACTCACGTGAAGAGCACGTGGGTACCTGCTGCTAGGAGAAGAGAACGTCAGCTCATGGCGGCTGCCGCCACCACCGCCGGTGCTGGATCATCGGGTTCGACTTCCGGAGCCAAGAAACCGAGGCTCATAACTTCGAAAAACACTAGTAGCTTTGACACTAGCTCAAGTAACCAAGGTTAGCTTCTAATTATATATATATATATATATTGTGTTAGGGTTTTTCTTCTGAAGTTACTGTTTGTCATTTGCAGGCTTTAAAGAGACACTGCCAGTGCAAGTACGTGCGCCGGCGGTATTCAAGTGCGTAAGAGTGACGGCGGTGGAGGACGGTGACGATGATTTTGCGTATCAAGCAGTTGTTAAGATTGGTGGACGTGTGTTCAAAGGATTTCTTTATGACCAAGGAGTTGAAGGAAGAGACGGGTTCCCTAATATGTCTGAATTGAATTTAGGTGGTGGTGGAGGCGGCTGTGGTAATGGTGGTGATGGTTGTGGAGGTGGTGCAAGAAGTGGTGGTCGTCTTCTCCGGTTCTCGATCCTTCTGAAGTTTATACAGCCACCGGAGGTTGCTTGCTTGGTGGTTCAAGTTATGGTAATCCAATAAACTAAGGTCTCATCTTTCCAGGTAGTGTATTGGCTGTTCATATAATGTTACCATTGTAGCCTATTTCTTCTTTTGTAGAAACTTATATATTATCCTTATTAACGTATATATATATATATATATATATATATATATATATATATATATATATATATTTTTTCATTTATTTTGATTTTCAACAGTTTTGGGGCTTTGAATTTTCTTATTTTCAATGCCTAATTGCCTTTTAAATTGCACTGAGAGGATCATAGAATGATAAAGGTGAGCATAAGAGATTCTACAGTAACAGAAATATACGGATGTTATAGTTAGGACTTGAACCTTGGACCTTTGAGATGTCAACACAGATGGTTAACAGCATGTTCTTCAAGCTTAGCCTTTGTTTCACCATAAGAGTTTGGATTTGGAAAAGTTGAATCTATGGTGTACAAGTGGTTTTCACCATTAAAAGATTTTGTACTATTGAGCCTAGTTTACTTTATGTGTATTCGGGAGGAAGCCCTGTTGATGATCGTTATCTTGGACCGAACGACAAATTTCTTGTAGCGATCATTGTGATATCTACAACGTTGTATCGCACTTGGCTTTCAGTCCTGCTGCTTTAGTTTTCGGTTTGTAATGAATCCGAAGCAAATGCAGAACTCATGATTATTGAGCTGCTTTGGACTTTTGTATGAGAAGTAGTTACTCGGTTTCCATCATTCATTGCCAAACACAAACACAAAAGTGTATTACATGGCCGGCCTACTTTGCGGGTGTGGGATCCCTACAATGTGGACAAAGGCTTCAATTGCATGCATTCATGAATGCTTGAATTCTACACCCATTGTCCCACCTATCCTAGGAGACATAGTTTCCGAATTCGCACGGATTATAGGTCTTGTGAACTGAAGTTTCTAATTGTATTTCTACTTTTGCGTTTTGATTATGCAATATTCTATCATTGTCTGGTTTTCTTCTACCTTATCATTCTCTCTTTCTACATTTACCTATTTTCAATGAGACATCACACTATAGTTAATCGACAGTGTATTAGATAGCATAGAATGTGAGTTTTCTTATCGGCTACAGGTTGAAAATGTGTAATGTATTACATTGTTTCGTATCATCCGGTTTGAAGTATTATTGACAAGTTCTTCACTGCCGATAAGGTATTCAGAAGCAATTAACCTTTTTTATCTTCATGCTACTGCTACTGCACATAGGTTACGGAGTCGGGTTACGTGCACTGTAAGTAGATATTATTGGTTGGTTTGAATACTTGTACTGATCTTTTATATCCCTTGGAAAAGCTTGAGTGAGGCATTTTCTTTTACTTGCTGTGTTCTAATAGCATGTCTGTGAATTCCAGTAAGTAGTAAGTACATTATTTAAGTGTCTATGCCTGTTTTAAGCTTCGATCATGGTGCTTTTCAAGTTTCATATGATACTTTACCTAGCTCGCCTGCAACAAGGTTGAAGTTACTGATTTCAATATTTTAATCTTACTTTAAAAATCCGACAAAGTCTTTAAAGCTTAAAAATGTTTATTTTTGTTTGTTTTAACGAGTTTTTTGGGGAAAAAGAATTTAATGTAGTGGTAAAGATTAGTTTACTGATGGGCATGAAACTAAAACTTGACGGGTATTGACCGACCCAATTTTATTGGGTTAGAATATGTTTTTTTAAAATTTGGGTTTGAATTTGATTTTATATTGAAAAATATTTGAATGGATTAAATCCAAAAAAATAATATAATTATACTTTATATTTTTAGAGATAATTGCAATAATCTCTCCTTAGATTATTTTTTCAATTAGATTTTTATTTTATCAAATAAAATTAATATTTTTTTATAAATATAATTGTTTTGGGTTAAGTTGCAAGTTGGGTGAAGTTATCTTAACTTTCGGTTGGGTTTCGGGTGGAGGATTGTATTTTTCGGGTCGGATTGACAAAAAACTTGACCCAATTTAACTCATACCTATCTCTAAGTGCTCATCTTTAGGTGAGCTTATTGATATATAAGATGATTGGAGAAAATAAAAAAGATTTTTGTTTGATAAAAAAATTTGATAAGATGAAAAAAAAGGAAAAAATCATGACAAAAAGATTAAAAAGGTATTTTTTTAACTTTCATAATAGCTAAAAAACGTCACATTAAAGGCTTGCAGGCCAATTTACGTAAACTAAATAGTAGGAGCAAATAGATTGATCCAAAATACGAATATAAAGGGAAATTTTTTGTTTGCATATCATAGTTTGAGAACTTGAGCGTAATTATCCCATTTCAGAAAATAAGGCTCAATTGATAAAACTGAGGGCTTGCAGGCCAATTTAATATCTAATTAATGAAATGCGGGTCTAAATTGAAATAATTAAAACTATTGAACTACAATTAATAGTTAGATAGCAAATTGAAGGACCAAATTGAATTTTTACCAAACTATAAAGACAAATACTGTAATTTCTCCTAATTGAGTATAAACATGCAGATCCACTGACTGGATCGGGTCACAGGTCTACCAATGGGTTATCAATGACGAAAACTACATCGTTTTTGTGGTGGCTATATAAACCATATATTCTTTCTTTTGTTCCCCATTTTTATTCATCTCTTTCCCTTTCTCTTTTCTCTCCCTTTCTTCCTCCCTCCCAAACTTTTCTCCGAACGATAGTTGTAATCCCATAATCCAATTGATCATTTTTCGGTCAAAAACAGACCACTGTTCGCTGTTTCAGTCATCGTTGTCGGTCGTTATCTAAAGTTAATTTAAGAATCGAAGTCTAAAATATTAATATCTTTTTAAAAACAATAAATATGTAATTCTTTTTATTTTTTTCTAAACACATTAAATTAAATTTAACTATTTTTTTTTAAATAACAGAGATACACTTAACTTCCTAGGAATTTAATACATTCGCCCTTGATTTAAGGTTTGATTCTTAAGACACAACACTTAACTTCATAAATCTACCAAAGTTCATTCCGCTTCCACAAACTTTAGCTCCACTAATCTTTATCGTCAATTGTCCGATGACATTCCTTTTAAGATATGTTGTTCATATCGTCTCATAGATGAATCCCTCTGTTGAGATTTCGAAGGCAAAGCCTCCTTTGTCGGAAATACATATCTTAGCCATCGTCGAAGTTTTCTTTCTATTTCCTTATGTTTGCTTTTGCTTCTCTCTGATTATTGATGCCTCTTCTTTTCTATAGCAGGTTGATGCAGGTAGCGAGCGGAGAGCAATTACTGTTACAATTGTTGATGTTGTCACTGCTCTCCGACTATTGTTGTTGTGATCACCCGGGGGCTCACCAAGGTTGTTGCTAGTGGGCTCATCAAGCCCGTTCCTGATTGGGGTTGAATGAGTGATGAACCAATTGGGTTTGATTTAACTTGATCCACTGTTTCAGTGAACCAACCGGTTCATAGTTTAGGGCTTTAGGCATGTGTCCCTCTCACCTAGATCTAGGGATGTTTATCGAACAAGTCGAATAGTCGATTACGATAAACGAAAAGAAAAATGGTGGACATATTTAATATATTTTATTCCAATTTTTGAGGAAGCGGTGGACATGTCGCACACGTGTTCTTAACGAAATGCTTCCCACCCTCCAAACAAATGATACGTGTAATGTGTCAGCTACCTTCGTGTCCTTCTCCTCAAAAATGAAAAAAAAACCCACATTTTTGGCATCTCAATTTCCATTTCTACATTTCTAGCCCTATCTCGTTCTCCGGGAACGGAAGAATAATTCTCTTGCATCTTCAACTCTATTGTTAATTTTTTTTATAATTTTTTAACTATAGGATTAGAAGAAATTGTTTGTTAGATTAGGCTAGATTAAGCGAGGACTGTAAATCAGAATCATAATTTTAGATTTAATTCAGAATTAAAAAAAAAAATCAAAACCATGTCTTCAGCAACCAAGATCATCGTTGAACAACTCGCCATTGCTTTCCCGGATCTCTCCTTTCAAGATCAGAATCAGGTACTCTTTTTTTTCTTTCTTTCTAGTTTTGGTTATTTGCTTAGCTTTTAGAGCCAGAGCTGTTTGATTTTTCTGCTGAAATGAAATGTAATGAAACGAAAAAAATGGATATTTCGTTGATTAATGGTTAAGCACTGTGTAGTAATTTCGTTGATTAATGCTTATGTAACAGTTCTTTTCTAATATTTTATTTTTTGTCAATTATTAATAATAAAATTATTAAATATTTTGTTTGGATAAATTGGTTTTTTGTTAGAAGGAGGTGAAGAATAAAGGGGCTGTTAGCGAGGAAAGTTGCCAAAGTCATGGTGGAATATGTGCGATATGTTTAGATAAGATAGTTCTACAGGAAATTGCACTCGTAAAAGGCTGCGAGCATGCTTACTGGTTTGTCTAACCTCTCTTAATCAATATTTACAGTTATGCTTTCGGTTTTGTGGTCTGTTGTTCTGTTTCCACTTTCGCTACTTATTTTTAAAATTTTGAGCCATCTTGATTTTGCTGGAAACTGCAATGATTTGTTTTGTTGTTCTCATTCTAATTGTCTATTTTACGTTTTTGTTTAGTAATGGTTACTTTTAGGGTATAGAGTTACCCAAGTATTTTGAATTCAACTTTTGGGAGATCAGTTTAATTATATATTAGTCTTGAATTTTGGCACTAAAAAAATTGTTTAGATAAATTTTTTAGTGTCATTCCCTTAATCAATGACATAATGAGTATTATTTAGATAAATTCCCCCCTGAATCAATCCTATGGTTTTGGTGATTGTTTGGCACTGATTCAAGGGAGTTTAGGGTCGCAGAATGAGTTGAGGTCTATGATGTTGTTATTATGTGAGAAAGAGAGAGACTTGAGTGAAGATTTAGTGGTGGCATGGTCTGAAATGCTCATGTTGATCTCACCAAATGGGAAGGGTTTGGGTCTCTTGTTATGTGCTTCTGGAGATTGTCATGTTAATTTATTGTCATACGGTTCTAGGGGCGAATATGTTTAAGCTATCACGTCTCTTTTGTGAGACCTTTGTGCATATGATCAATGATGTGTTACAAATATACCAAAACTTTTGGGAGAAGAACTGTGTTATATGTTTTTGACACTTTTATCCTTTCTCATGACACGCATGTCATCATCTTTGGTGATTTTAATTCTGTTTTCTATACAGTTATATTTATATAGCTTGTCAAGAAATGTTATTGCCCTATTAAAGGTTTGGACTTTCGAGTGAAATATGAAGAAGAGATGTCAAGTGTGCATTTTTGAGATATGTTTTCTAATAAATGTTTTATTTTTATTACTTCATACTCATTTTTCTTATTTTTTAATTGTTTCTTTCGTTTCTAAACTTTATGGTGTCTTGCATGCTAGCTATGAGGCCTACTCTTTGCCTCAAAAGTGGGAGTTAATTGAAAAATTCATTGCTGTCATACTGCCTTTTGAAGTCTTGGTTTATATTGCCAAAATTTAATAGAAAAGGTTATGCTATTTGTAGTCTATCATCATCTGCATGTTTCTGCTATACCAATAGGTACGTCAATGCATATTTTGGGGTTCTGCTCATTGTATCCATATATGTATGCTTTGTTGTCTGGGTTTCTATGAACTGCTACATTTGCTACATGTTTTATACTTCCAGTGGATTGGGTATGGGATTTCAGGTTTTATGTGTAATTTGCTCTTTGTTCTTGCAGTGTAACATGCATCCTTCGATGGGCAACATATAGTAAAATGCCTACATGCCCTCAGTGTAAACATCCATTCGAGTTCCTTGATGTTCATCGTTCACTTGACGGCAGGTAATCTTAAATCCTCCATTCTTGATTGTTGAATTGTCCTTGTCATGTTTGAATTTCCAAGAGGAGGGAATTCTTATAGGGGTGTTCAATTCGGTTTGGTTGGTTAATTCGGTTAAAATCGAACAATGAACACCCTTTAATTCTTTCTTTTCTCCTGACCGTGGCCTAAGTGAATCCATGTTTGGTTGTTGCCTTTTGCTTTATAAGGATCAACGACTACATGTTCGAGGAAAGCGTGTGCCTGCTTCTTAGAGCCACATGGTTTAAAACTTTGAATGTGGAGGAACGCGAAGAGGTATACGATGATTTGGATGATTATTATTACCATTATCCTTATGAGGATGATGACGAGGAGGAAGATGAAGTTTATTACAACAGTGCACCGAGTCTCCGCTTTGGGAATCGCAGATGGGGTGATAATGGATATGTAAGGTCAGGGCGTCAAGAAGCCAGACCTGTCCAACGATCATCCAGTTCCCAGAATACTGCTGCCTCGTCGTCTTCATCTTCAAGTGAGCCCAAGAAAAAAGAAGTTTCGAAAAGTACGATGGGGCGAAGGGCAAAGCGAGCACTGAAGCGTGAAGCAGCCGATAAGGCGGCTGCAGCCAAACATCAAGAGCATTTGATGAGGCTGGGGCTGGGGCGGAAGTGATATCTTTGATCCAATGTCTTTTTTATAGAACATTGAACCAAAGTGATTAAGGGTGATTCGATAAACAAGAATCCCTTTATAATATCCTGCCTTTGTACAGTATTTTCTTTTTCTGGAACAAAAGAAGACCAGTTTATAACACTCACTCCGACCCACAATAGGCAATGGAATACGAGAAAAACAATCTCCAAGTGAAGGATAGAATGCAACATTCAGGACAAGGTCAAATGGCAACACAAAAAGGACATGTCGAGAAAAAACACCAAAACCAAACAAACAACACCAGCCTCTAGAACTCCCACCACGCTTTTAACAAATTCTGACACTGCATACCTTGTTTTGACAGCCGATCCGCCATTCCATTACCTTCTCTGGGCACATGCTCGAACCTCACCTCTGTATATTGATTGCGAAGCTTATCAATCTCCTCGAAACAGTCCCACCATCTCCATGGTCGCGAAGAAATATTTTCGACCCACTTCAAAACCACTTGCTAATCTGTATAGTCTTGGAAAAATTACAGATGATGGATTTTCCCCACACCAAGCGTCTTCCCAAAAGAAAATTGAACTACCATCACCCAATTTCCAACGAAACGCTCCCCTGCTCATCCACTTCTCAACCTCTACATCCAAAAGGTTTTTAACAATCCCTTTCCTTATCATCGAGCAGTTCCTCGATCTTTCCGATACTGCTACCCACTGATTAATAAATTGCCCATACTTCGCTTCAATAACTCTTCGCCAAAGTGCCTTTTTCTCTACAGAAAATCTCCAACTCCATTTTGCAAGAAGAGCTTTGTTTTTCACTTTTAAATTCACAATGCCAACACCTCCTTTTTTTCTTTGGCAAACACATCTTCCCCCAACTTACTCTGATTAACTTTTTTCACATGCCCAACTACCCCATAGAAAATTCCTTCTTACCTTGTCGAGTCTGAACAAGATTGACTTTGGGATGTGGAAAATCGACATGAAGCATAACGGAAGTGCCAATAAAACAGAGTATACCAAAATAACTCTTCCTGCAAAGGAGAGCAATCGGCATTTCCACCCCGAAAGTTTACTCCTGAATCTTGCCACCAAGGGATCCCACGTTGATAATCTTCTCGGATCAGCCCCTAACGGTATGCCCAAGTAATTGAAAGGCAACGAACCAATTTTACAGCCACAAACTATCGCTAGTCGATTAATGAGTTCCTCATCCACATTTATGCCAACCAAACAAGACTTGCTGAAATTTATACTGAGACCCGAGCACACCTCAAAACATCTAAGAATTCGCTTCAAGTTCAAGATTCGCTCTAACACCATAATCAAGAATTCCCAACGGACACAATCATACGCTTTGGAGAAATCAAGCTTCAAGATTATACCACCTCGGCCACCATCTTCATGTTTTAAAGAGTGAATCATTTCGTTTGCTATTAGGATGCTATCACAGATTTGTCTACCTTTAATGAATGCACTCTGCGTCTCACTTATGACATTCTCCAACACACTGCATATTCTTTTGGATAGAATTTTTGTCACAATCTTATATATTGAGCTGATTAGGCTTATCGACCTGAAATCGGAGATACACGAAGGCGTCTCACATTTTGGATGAATTTATTATTATATTTATATTGACCCAATCCATAATTTTTTTTCTTCAAAATTTGCAAGTGGGGGTAGAAATTAGAATATCTTAACATCTTTGAGAAATTATATTAAGTTGCAGTGTTATTATTTAGATTTAAATTAACTAAAGTATAGGTTGAAAATTTAAATTTATTAAAAATTCAAATATAGCATGTCAAATAAAATTTTAAAATAATTATTTTAAAATATAAATTAGAGTATTTGATAATAAATCATATAAATTCATTAAATTAAATTAAATATGTATGAATATCTGAGTTTATATTATCTATTACCATTCTAAACTAATCAAGATATAGCAAAAGTATTATCTATTACCATTCTAAACTAATCAAGACATAATCTTGATAAACTAAAGCATGCATGCATGAGGAACCATATATAATATTACAAATTCTGGATGCAATAGATTGTTAGATGAAAATAATTCCACAAAACAAATAGAATATAATAAATATGGAGTTGGAAGTAATAATTACATGTACGAAAAAAGAAAATAGGAGTCCTAAAAGGTTAACTATTTTCAATGAAGTTGAGATGGTATGGATCGATGGTGTATAAACCCTAATCAAACCACATAGATAATTCATCTTCTGGGTAGGATCTCTGCATGAGAAGTTGAGAAAACGTCAAGTTTGATGCAGCTGGATTCGCTCCTCCCATATGCATGCCATTAGAAGCAAAACTCCCGGTTGCGCCACTAGCGTTATGAGCTTTTTTCGGCTGACGGAGATCTTCATTGTCATCTTCGCATGGAAAATCATCGAACCAAGGGTTTTCCAGAACAGCCGCCGCCACCACCACTTGTGTTGCCGCCGTCAGTTTCCCGAATACTCTCCCTCCCATGAGTTTAAATTGTGGCCCTTCAAGAGTTATTCGAAAAGAAGAACGCGGCGATGATGATTGGGGTACTGTTCCGTTGGAAGAAGGCGGAGTACCGTATTCCGGAAAGAATGAGCCGATCAAGGATTGTAACTGAAAGGTTCCCTGAAGAAAGAGCCGTGGTTCTTGCGGAGAGGCATGGCAGAGCGAGACGTTTGAAACGGAGCTGGAAGCGCTGATTATACCAACACCGACATGGTTTCTACAGGCGAAGCTGATAATTCTCTCGATAACATCAAAACCGGGGGAGACTTCAAAAGCCACCGTCTTCACGGGTGAAGTATCACTCTCCCTCGTTACAACAATCGGCGGTTTGGGTTTGTTCTTGGATCCTTGAGGCCTTCCTCTACGCCTCTTTGCAGTCTTCTCATCAGTTTGTTGATGATTACCAAGGGTACTAGTCTTAGCATTGCTAGTTTTAGAGTTCAGAGAGCCGCCGCCGGAGAAGTAGAAACTTGGAGGGTTTCGATATTCGTCGTTGCCGGAGGAATGGGCTTGAAAACCAGAGACGGGTGCATTATCATCAGCCATCGTCTGATATCGGAGACTTGAGGTAAAGAGAAGTAGAGAACAAGAAATGGAGGAAACGCTTTTTATAGGCTTTGAAGATGCAATGTCGATCAACTTAAATTTAAGGTTTGGTTCGATTCTACTTAGGTTTCTTTGACCGACTTAATAGTAAGGGTAAACTACTTATTTGGCCACATGATATTTTTGTTTTAATCATTTAACTAATTTTTTAAAAATCATATCTAACAATACATTTTATTTATGTTTTTATCATCTACCGTTATATTTTATCGTTAAATTAAAGAAAATAATGATGTGACATGATATAATAATTTTACTTCATATAAATATACATTATACTAATTCATTAGAAATAATTCAATAAAGCTTTAATAATTTATATTTTTGTCAAATTGATCATTGTTTTAAGTTTGACTGATCTTGTTCGATTGCGCAATAATAAATTCCTTCAAAACTCTACAATCTGAACAATAGCTCTGATACTATTTGTTAGGAATTTAGAAGTATGGAAAATATCAAAGCGATATCAACATAAAATAAGACATGCACAGAAGACGAGATTTAACGTAGTTCGACCTTACCTACCTCCACAAGAGAGATGAACAATAATACACTATAAAGTAGAGAACACAAGAAGTACAAGTACATGATATCACATGTATCCAAAAACTCGATATAGATACCAAGACCTGGTGTATCCAAAAACTCTTAATATCACTACAAAACTATCTCTGCAACATAAATCTCAAAAGTAGATTACGTCTCATCAAAATAATTCTCTCTCATACATTCTAAAGGCTAAGACATGATCTCTATTTATAAAGCAAAACACTTGGTCACCAAGAATTCTTATGTAAGAATTCTTGTTTAAAATAAATATTTACTTTATTAAATAAACCAAACTACCAAATAATATTCAACCACTTGAATTACAATAAAATCCAACTTAATTACGAATTATAATTTGAGTCAAAATATTACACTCAGCAAAAAGAATTTTTTATTTCAAAATTCACGACTAAAATCCAAATAGGATGCCTCGTTAAAAAATACCCTAAAATGTAACTAAAACATGTAATCTTACACTCCCGCCAAACAAACCAAACAATATAATACAAGTAATATATTAAGTAATGTTACTAATCTTGTTTGATTGCACAACCATGTCGACTTTGCGTTCAAACATTAGTTTTTATGATTTTTTACATATCAATATCTGATATGTAAATTGATTAATTTGGATAGAGTAATACAAACTACATAGGATTATGTGGTGATAGATTTTTCAACTTACTTTGTTCTATAAATAATATAAAGATTCAAATTTTTTATTTAAAAAATTTAATATCTTACCTCAATAAACTAACTGTAATTTTTTTTTTAAAATATATCACATAATCCAAACTATTATAACGACCATCAATATAAACATATATAGAACAAAGTGAAATCAAGTAGGGCATATAGTATCTTTAAAATGTCTAAAAAATTATATTATGTATTATTATATAGATTTAAATTCATTAAATTATTTGTTAAATATTTCAATTTATTAAAATACAATTTATTATGTAAAATACAATTTTGATATAATAATTTTAAAATTTAAATTGAGTATTCTAAAAAAGTTAAACTTGACCTAATTTGAGCTCCAACATAATCTAGATAAACTAAAGCATGCATGCACGAGGGACTCGAGATATAAATAAGTGCAGTGATATATATAATTCAAAAAATATGGAGGCATCAGATTGTTATACAACTAAAACATGCATGCATGAGGAACTCAATATATATATATTTCGTTTATTATTTTTTTATTTTCTATTATTAATATCAATTATTTATTTTCATACATTTAATAATTTTAAATTAGTATAATAGTTTTTTGTTTTACATTATGTAAATAAATTCTATATATATATATATATGCGCGTTAATATATAATTTAAAAATATGGAGGCATGTTGTTATATAACTAAAACATGCATGCATGAGGAACTCAAAATATGAAAATTTTCCACAAAAGAAATATAATATATATTTTTTTGTTTGGCAAAGATCGATTTATTTAAAATCAATAATAAAAATTTTAATGGAACTTGAAGTAATGATTACATGTATGAAAAAGAAAATATGGATGGTGTATAACCCCAGTTAGCCATAGCCAGCAGCTACTGCTATAAACATTTCCTTCCAATCATAATCAATGAGTTCAGATAAGTTGGGTTGAGCAGGATTTGCTCCTCCGTAATCACCCATGTGCACGCCATTAGAAGCAAAACTCTCGGTTGTGCCACTAGCGTTACGAGCTTTTTTCGGCTGACGCTGATCTTCATTGTCACCTTCGCATGGAAAATCAACGAACCAAGGGTTTTTCAAAACAGCCGCCACCACCACCACTTGTGTTGCCGCTGTCAGTTGCCCGACTACTCTCCCTCCAATGAGTTGAAATTGTGGCCCTTCAAGAGTTATGCGAAAAGAATGACACGGCGGTGATGATTGGGGTGTTCCGTTGGAAGAGGCCGGAGTACCGTATTCCGGGAAGAATGAGCCGATCAAGGAGTGTAACACAACGGGTCCCTGAAGAAAGTGCTGTGGTTCTTGCGGAGAAACGTGGCAGAGCGAGACGTTTAAAACGGAGCCGGAAGCGCTGATTATACCAACACCGACGTGGTTTCTACAGGCAAAGCTGATAATTCTCTCGATAACATCAACACCCGGGGAGATTTCAAAAGCCACCGTCTTCAGAGGTGAAGTATCACTTTCCCTCTTTACAACAATAGGCGGTTTGGGTTTGTTTTTGGATCCTTGAGGCCTGCCTCTACGCCTCTTTGCAGTGTTCTCATCAGTTTCTTGATGATGATCAATGGTACTTGTCTTGGCGCTGGTAGTTTTAGAGTTGGGAGAGCCGCCGCCGGAGAAGGAGACAGTTGGAGGGTTTCGACCTTCGTTGTTGCCGGAGGCGTGAAGTTGAAAATCATAGACGGGTACGCTACAATCAGCCATCGTTGGATATCGGAGACTGAGGTAAAGAGGAGTAGTAGAGAACAAGAACCGGAGGGAAGCGCCTTTTATAGGCTTTGGAGATGCAATGTCGATCTACTTAAATTTAGGGTTTGATATTTTAACCGACTTAATAATAAGGGTAAATTACTTATTTGGTCACTTATTTATTATACTATTTTTGTTTTAGTCATTTAATTAATTTCTTTTTAAATCACATCTATCATTACATTTTGTTTCTGTTTTTTATCATCCGTTATTAGATTTTATCGTTAAATTAAATAAAATGATGATGCAACATGGTATAATAATAACTTTAGTCCATGAAACTTATATATTATATTAATTTAGTTCTAATTAGAAATAAATCAATAAATCTTTAATATTTTAAAATTTTATTAAATTGATCCTTGTTTTAATCTCGATTGATATTGTTTGATTGCGAACAATAATGTCGACTTCAGATACTAACACCTCAACCTTTAATGAATATTTTTTTTATTAATCCAGATAAGATATTGTATAAGTTTATTGTAGAAATAAATTAACTTAAGTTAGAATTATATTTAATTAGATACGAAATCTTCAAAAAAACTTAAAATTTCTTACAAATATTTTTTCTCCAAGATGAACATAGTTAGCGAGCAAGAAGATCATAGAGCTACAAAGAAAGTAAAGAATAGAGAAAGAAGAACGGAAGACAATGAGGATTCTCAGCAAACAGATGGCATGCAAACAGAAGATGATCTCCAAGATGATGAAGATGCGGCTATTGAACGTCCCAAGAGTCCTGGGATGATCTCATATGTTGCCATGGCTGCTAGTGGAACGCTCATGAACAAGAATCCGCCTGTAAAGATGCATGAAGAAGAGATAATTTTTCAAGAAGGAGATGTTACCATGGATATTTTGGGAGATTATCCTAAAATAAGTTTCTCTAACCGTATCCATGATTTGATTGATAGAAACATGAAGCAAGTTATTATCACAAGACTGTTGGGGAAGAAGATAGGCTATAAAGCACTAATTAACATGATTCATGCTTTATGGAAACCAATTGGAAATTTTAACTTGATCGATCTAGATAATGACTACTTTTTAGTGAAATTTGAAAATCTTAAAGATTACACGAGAGTGCTTACTGATGGTCTTTGGATGATTTACGGAAGTTACCTGACAGTTCAACCATGGTCAAGAAACTTCACCACCGCTGAAAAGCATCCATCTCATGTAATTGCTTGGCTGAGACTTCCTGGTTTACCCTTCAGGTATTGCAATACTGTTCTAATTAGGACTATTGTGAATACGATTGGAAGAGTCATCAAATTTGACTACAATACAAAAGCTGGAGAAAGAGGCAAATTTGCTAGAATTGCAGTTGTGATCGATTTGAATAAGCCCCTTATTCCATGCGTGGGAATATATGATTTTATCCAAAAGATCGAATATGAAGGTCTGCAACAAATCTGTTTCAAATGTGGTACCTATGGGCATGTGAAAGAATCCTGCCAAACCATTCAAGAAGATAAACAGATGGAAAGAACCAATTCTGAAAATGGTATTAAATAACAGTCAAATACTGATAATAACAAAGATAGCTCATTTGGCCCTTGGATGGTTGTTCAACCAAGAGGAAGAAACAATTGAACTAAAAAACCTCGAAATAAAAACAAATAAGCAGAATGAAGGACTAGTCAAGGCTCCAGATTTGCCCCTATCAGTGAAGATCCTTTGAAAGATGGCCCCAGTGACAAAATAAAGAAAAACAACATATCTCTAAAGAAATTGACATACAAAAAGATGTTGTTAAAATGACTGTACCTGTGAACCAGACGTATACCAGAATGAGGAATAAAGGAATTTTGAAAAACAAAGACAAGATAACCCAAGCAGAAGAAGTTACTTACCAACCCCAGAAGAGTGATGCTACCAACAACCCTGAAATTGACAATAACATATTAATTAATGTTCCAATTTCAGATGGAGGAAAGTCAACTAATAATGATTTTACTGAGGAACGGACTATAGCAGGAATTCAAGTCAAGGCAAAAGAAGATGCTCAAATCAGAGAACATTCTATAATTGTGGGAAATAATTCACATACAGCTATAATCATTCAAGAAGAAAACAACAATCAAAACCCCACGTGTAACACCCCTAACCTGTATCCGACCCGGATACGAGTCCAAAGTGTCACATTGACTTTTCAAACATTTATTCGTATAAAATAATGAGTAATTTAAAAACTTTGATAACACTTAACTTATTCAAAACGTTTACAAAATATATCAGAGTTCATACAATTTATATCTTTAGACTACATGCCAACTACACCCTATAACCAGTACATATATTTTCTGATCTGACATTTGGTAAGGAGAACTGACCTGTCTTGCTCCGCATTACTCTTTACTCTTCTCGAAACCTACGTGTGAAACAATCACACGCTAAGTCGAAGACTTAGTGAGGCATAAAAACTTATAATGCACTTTATAACATATATCAATATATGCATGTTCTGTTCTATCATGCTATACCAAATTACATGACTTCCTCATATCATGTAAAATTATATCAGATTAATTAACAATAAATACATACATACACATAAATCATCATTAGCAGTTTATCATGTAATCACATACTTTTATGCTTAACATTTTCAATCAAACACTATACACACACAACATCATATCATTTGTAATACATTTATCATATCACTAACATATATTTGTTTATATCTCTTGATTAGCCCATGTACACCTGTGAGAACTGTAGATATGTGAGTCTATTGAGGTTGTGCACCACTATGCTATCATCACAGCTCATATAAATGTCCCGAAGGACCTATCCAGAGGTCATAAAGATCCTCGGTAACTATCCAGAGGTCATAAAGATCCTCGGTAACTGTCCATAGGTCCCGAAGAACCTAGGTAAACTGTCCATATGTTCCTTAGAACATAGGTATACTGTCCATATGTCTTGAAAGACATAAGTAAAACTGTCCATATGTTCCGTAGAACATAGGTAAACCCTCGACTCTTGGCATGCCAACTATACCCTTAGCTCTCATGACACATAACATGGGCGTTATCATTTATTTCATTTCAAATATTCACATAAACTTGTAATTCACTTTCACATATTACGTATCACATAGCTTCTTTTCATATTATCACATAGTCACATAGTTCACTTACACGTAGATCATTTCCATATAATTCACATGTCACATATATCATGTTTTCATATAATTTCTATCATTTCTCACCCAATCACATTTATTCATGTAAACATACTTATCATATCTTGTTCACATAAGATCATATACTTCATATAATATATAGAAACACCTAGAACACTTTCACGTAGCTTATATCAATTTTCAGAGTCCTTTCATATTACCTGATGACATATATCATATAGATATATAATAACTGATATCATATTATCTACCTTATGCTCCATTTCTTTGTATTCCCTTTTTCATATCAACATACATTTAAATATTCTTATATGTCCGTCCTATCAATATCCTATAAACTTACTCATATTCTCATATATCATATTTTAATATAATTTGTATAGTAATACTCTATAATTGTATCATATAATGATTTTACCCAATTACTCATTTATAAAGTTTATATTACATGTTCAATTAGTCTCATGCTATCTTATAAATAATTTCCATTTATTTTATATCATTTTCCTTTTCCACTCACATAAACCATCTATTTATTTAGTTCAATTTCTCATGACTTCCACAATACTCTTTAATTAAACTTTGTAGCTCTTCACTATAATACATAAACCATAGTTTCCTTTAATTTATCAATCTTCCCTATATTACTTATGTATCCTTATTTATGCCCTCGAATTCATACTATTCTCTTAGAGTCTCCTAACATTTCTCGTATAATCACTTATACCATATCATATAACTTATACTTGATTATCTTATTCTCTCATGTTCATTTCATTTCTTATGACTCTATCATATAACTTATCTCATGTTCTTCCATTATTACATATTAAAGTCTTACATACATCATATAGCATATACAAAGCATATCATTATCTTTAGTCATGCATACATACAATCAATGTAATACAGATAATCACATATAATTATAACCACACATAATCATGTCCATGACTTCATGCATATTACTCTAGGAAATAGACTCATCGCAAGTCTTATTTCCATTAAACACTACATATCACTAGTATGCACTCACCTTGCCTCACTAGTCCATTCCAATCTCTTATCTTCCCTTGATCGATCTTACTTGCCAAATGTTCCGGAATTGCTTTACGCGCAGAATCTACATAAATGTACATTTTGAGGCAATTATTAGATACCTACACCTTGTAATTGGATACTAGCAACTTAAACAAACTTATTAAACCAATATTCCCATTTTTCCTTTAGAGGGAATCGGTTCCCTACTAAGGGGGTATCGATTCCCTCATGACATTCTGGAAATTTTGTTCGTTTGAAGGGGTATCGGTTCCCCTTGAATGGGTACCGATTCCCCTTGCCCAGAAATCATATTTTCAACCCGAAAATTACTTCATTTCCTCTCAAACACTTTATATATCATCCCCTTTTCATTCTTAACTCTAGTACACATACTTAAACCAATCTATATTCATTTATTTCATCTTAAACCTCAAAATCCTATCTTCCATATGAGATTCAAGAATCATACCAAATTTTCAATGTGTTCTAATTCCAATTCTAACACTTCATACTTCTTAATTAGATTGATGACAAGTCAAATTCATCCATAAAACTTCAATAACCATACCATATCAAAATTTCATCTTAAAACTCATATTGCAAATTCCTTCATAATTCATTTATCTTATTGTTTAAATCCCATATAAGCTTTCCTTAAGCTTATTTAATACCCAAAGAATCAAAACTAAGCTTAAAACTCAAGAATTAACCAACTGAAATTAAACTTACCTTTGCCTTGCTCTCCCACGTATGAAGAAGAAGAAAGGAGAAGAGAACTCTGGATGTTTCTCACATTTCCCACGTTTATATTACCTTTAAAAGGAATATAAAAATCTTTCTGGTCAAATGACCATTTAACCCTTAATTTCCTTTAATAATTACTAATTAACCTTCATCATATATATATCTAATAATCATTGAACTATTTCATTCTTATACTTTAGTCACCAAATTCTGAAACTTTACAATTTGGTCACTAACCCGGTATTGAGGATGTTACACCACGTCTAGATGGAATTTCAACAGGAAGCCTAATCCGATCGCTCGTATTACTAACAAAGGCCTTAAAGTCAGGAAATCCAAAATTTCTATCAATCCCAATGTTCCGTTACTTTTGGAATGGATCCAAGAAAACACCATGAATTTTGAAAATTTGGCCCCACCTGACAACACCATTACTACTACTAATCAAGGCCAAATGACAGATCATGTTGATCAGAATCATATGCAAGAAATCCAACATAAGGGTAAGGAGCTGCAACAAAGTAACTTCCCCTAACTCAGTGCTAATGAATTTCCTATTTTGGAACACACAAGGGGTTGTTAAACCCACCTTTAGAAGACATTTGAAAGATTGTGTGACCAAACACAAGCCTAAGATCATTGCTCTAATGGAAACACACACAAGTGGCAGAAGAGCAGATAGAATTATAAATAACATGGGCTTTAATAACACTTTCATAATTGAAACGTAGGGGCACAGCGGAGGCATCTGGGTTCTTTGGGATAACTCGGTAGAGGTAAAGGTTTTAAGAATCTCCAACCAGTATATCCATGCGTGTTTCAAATGCTTGAACAAAAATAGTTGGAACTACTTTACAACGGTATATGCTAGTCCCAACCCTATCATTCGGGGTAAATTATGGGAGTTTCTTGATGATCTTAAGCCAAGTAATGATGAGCCCTGGATTCTAGGAGGAGATTTCAATTGCATCCTGAGGACTGAAGAGAAAATGGGTGGGAGCAGTCATTACAGAGGAGGGAGTAAACATTTTCAGGAATTCATGTTCAATAATGAATTACTAGATGTTAATTACCAAGGGGATGATTTTAATTGGAGACGGGGGAACCTATGGCAACGTCTTGATAGGTGCATTATGAATATGAAGTGGCTAGAGCTTTATCCGGGCACCAGAGTCCACCACCTTGACAGAATTGGTTCGGACCACTGTCCTATTCTGTTACATACTTCGAGCAACCTTAATGGTAATAAAAATAAACCGTTTATATTTGTGGCAGCTTGGCTGGATCATCCTGATTTTGGGTTGTTCCTTAAAGATAAAGGGGCAAAAAAGGATAACCTTGTAGACAGACTCAACCATTTCAAGCATAGCATTAAAACTTGGAACAGGGAAAGTTTTGGAAGTATCAATCAGAAGAAGAAAAGAATTCTGGCTATATTAAAATATATTGATAAATGTCTAAGAAGATATAACTCCAATTATTTGGTTGCCCTTGAGATTGAGCTAAAAACCGAGCTGGACATCATATTAAGACAAGAAGAACTTCTTTGGGCTCAAAGGGCGAAGTGCAAGTGGATTAA